CCCAATCACGAAAAACAACTTCTACAAATTACAAAATAAAATGTCCCAATTTTTTTTATTTCGTACCAATAGCCCAATATGAAACTTGTGCAAATCTGTACAAATTCTCCAATCGTGTGACACTGACTTAAAAAGGCTCACAGTGTTTCAAAATTTTTGACACTATTAAATCGATATAATACATGAAATATTACAATATGGGTATCAAATTAAGAGGTTTAAGAGAGAATACTGATGGAAATATTTTTGAGAGGGTTGCCATCTAGTTGCAATTTTTAACTCAGTTAAATTGGTAAAATAAATGAAATATTGCAATGCGGGAGTTTAAGAAGGCTTACAGTTGAAAATATTTTTGAGGAGGGTTGCCATCTGTTCGGAAATTTAACTCAATTAGATTGATAAAATAAATGAATGCGGGTACCAAACGAAAGATATTTGAGAAATCTTAATATGGAAATATTTTCACATATCTAAATAGCAGAGCTCGCAAATAACAGTTGACACATTTTTTCAATGCTGTCTGCGCTCACTAACAAACAGAAAAAAACGAAGCACACTCGGTGTTGTACTGAGCAAACACTTTTCTCTTCGCATGTGTTATCTGTTTTGTGTTTTCGGTTGAGCAAAGCCAATGAATCCGTCTTACAATAAAAACTTAAAAATACACATTTGCTCGAGCGTACACAAAACAACTGTCTGCAAGTGAGCAAAACACAAGAAATGTCTGCGAAAGATGCTTTTTTTGTTCTTGTGGTAACCGGTGCAAACAGGGAAGAGACATTTTATCAAGTGTTGGCTATTCTTTGTTTAAAAAATGTTTATTATTTTTTTACCTAACAAAAACTACGTAAATCAAAATTTCAAACTTTATACAACAGTTTTAACAAATGTTCATCAAATTTTCAAACTTTTTATTCAGAATTAAAAAAAAATCTAGGTATGCATTTTTATAGCCTATTCATTTTTAGTACAATAAGGTGCAAGTTGGAAGTAGCTAGTACCGTTGATTTTTGGCAATTTTGGTTTTGCATGTTCTTCCATATAAAGTACTTTCGACAATATTTGTTTGGAGAAAATGAGCAACACTTTCAACAAAAGAAATTGCTAACAATATAGTGAGTGGATATAGTGAGTGGAAGATTTACACATTTCGGCAGCCGGTACGAAAACACCCTACCTCAGAAGTTTTTCCAAAAACGTCCTATTTAAAAATTTGATTGAAGAACGCCTTATCTCAGAATTGGTTCAAAACCGCCCTATCTCAACTGAAATTATATTGAAAATATATTCATATATGGCGTTTTTGAAACGGCAGCTGAGATAGGTCGATTTTCCACTCAGCCGGTCGATATGTAAAATACATGGCGTATGAGTAACCTTTACTGAGATATCTTATTACCAGGGAACGGATTTTATGGAAATTGCCTTTTTTTCTGCTAAAGAGATAGAGTATATTCGATTAAGAATGTCCACGATTTAGCTTTCCCTGATTCCATATATACACATTTGATGTTGCCTTTCTTTGCCTTTTTTAAGATATTTGCTTTTTTTAGATATTTGCCTTTTTTTTGCCTTTTCTACCTTTAAAAAAGTGATTATAGCATTTACATTTATTTTTTTTTAAGATTAAAAAATATACACATGCCCATGCGGCTTATAGAAGCGCAGGGACCTCTTGCCAAATTGGTGTTGAAAAAATTCAAAGCCGTTTTCTCAGCTAACGTAGGCTTGAAGACAATAAGGGGTGTGGATAAAGTTGTAAAGGGCGAGGAAAACGCCCTTATTCCTGATAATATGAACGTTTCAAACGTTCCATAGTTAAATTGGGCGCCGCTTGTATCAACTTACGTCGAGCGCACATTTAGAACATTCAAGGCTTTTCTTCGCGAAAATCGAATGAAAATGCTGCCAGAAAACTTCAAAATGCATCTTGTGGTTCAATGTTACGACAACTATACAGATTAAAGTTTTATGAGTTAGAAACTCGAAAGGATAAAATAGTCAAAGATTCAAAGTACAAATTTTTCAACTAGTTCATAGTTTTTCTCTTTTTACTTGTAATATAAACATTTCTAAAAAAAATATATTTTTTGATTGTTCTTCGTATTTTCTGTCTTTTTTAGTGCCTCATTTTGTTTTTTTTTTGCAATACCTTTTTTGCCATTTCCTGCCTTTTTCGCTATTTTATTTTGCCTTTTTTTTGCCTTTTTTACAATACCTAATGCCTTTTCCTGCCTTTTTCGCCATTTTATTTTGCCTTTTCCAGCCTATTTCGTTACTTTATTTTGCCTTTTTTATAGGTTTTTAGGTCCTAAAAATCCGTTCCCTGCTTATTACATTAAACGAGCAATTATTGTAACTATATATATGGGCAAATCTAAAAAATAGGTACACTTTCAAACAAAAAATTTTAATTTTTAAATTTGTGAGCACACCTATGTTTTATATATTATTTTACTCGTAATCTCTTAACAAACCTATTAATATAAGTGTAATTCATATTCATCAAGTGCTTCAAAAGTTAGACGAGGAATAAACATGAAATAGAAAACAAAAGAATAAGCTGGGTTGAAATTACGCTGTTCAAGTTGTAAGCTTTGAGGAAAGATTTTGAAAGTTGAACTCACTTAATTGGGATGTTCCAAATTCAATGGCATGCCCTGTTTTACCAGATTGGCTCCGGTTTTCGAGATAACGGTACTTGAAAATTTGATTAAATTTTAACTATTTTATAAATAACTCCCTCAATTTCGAAGTTATTTCACTAAAATTTTGCACATAACAGTTTTTTAATATTACCTTAATTATTCCTTAAAGTTATCGAAATAGGTTAACATTAACATATAGCTCCAATACAACTGATTACTCAGATATGTGTTTTTGCGCAATAACTCTAACTTCATATCTGTTAAATTGAACCTATACTAAATTTTAACCTGTTTAATTGAAGGAGTTATAACGCAAAACAACGTCTCAGATCAATCAGTTGTATGGGAGCTATATGTTTTAGTGAACCGATTTCGATGATTTTATGGAATAGTTAAGGTAATATTAAAAAACGGTTATGTGCAAAATTTTAGTAAAATATTTTCAAAACCCAGGGACTTTTTTTATAAAATAGTTAAAATTTAAAGAAAGTTTCAAGTACCGCTATCTCGAAAAGTGGAGCCAATAGGGTAAAACTTAGGACGCCATTGAATTCAGAAGGCTCCAATTAAGTAAGAGCAACTATCAGAACATTTGTCGAAAAAAAGTTGCTTTGATACCACTCTCGAAATATTCTGACTAAAAGAAGTAGCATCATTAAGAGTAGTAAATCAGGGTTTTTACACACTTCTAGAGATAAATTTTTTGAAGCATTTTACAGGTATATGTAATTTTATAAGGACTAGCAGTTATAGAAAGATTTAGATCGTTTCGACGTGTTTTCCAAATGTGGCTTTAATTAAGGTGTTTTTGGAATAAAAATTACGCTCAAGATCGCAGAATATTTTATCTTTAAAAGTTGGTTTATTCCGAAAGCACAGCTCTTGCTCAGGTATGAAATTATTCGCAATTGTTTGTAGTACACAATACATACTTAAAAAGTTCTTAAACTTAAATGCTTCAAAAACTATACGCGATAAACCGAAAATTTTGAAAATTGTGAAATGTGAAATTACAGACTTTGAGTTACTTACCATTTCCTTATTTTTTAATGCACACTTTTCTTACCTACTACATTTGAAGTGTACACATAAGTACACATACAATTTCAAATCAGTATATGGTGTGCTTCAAAAGTTATCGCATAATTAATTTTTCACCTCTTAAAAATTACATAAAAAATTCACTTGTTTTCATTATTATTTTTTATTTAAACACCTATAATTCAAAAGTTATGCGGCAAATTGATCCAAATTTTTTTTGAGGCATCAAGTATACGTCAATGAATTATATCCAAAAGCAACCAGCTTGATATAGTTTCCAACAGTGAAAATAAAGCTAAAAACACCAAGGTTACCTGTTTTTTAGATTTGCCCATATATATCCATAGCGTTCTCGGAAACGGCTCTAACGATTTTGATGAAATTTCGTACCTAGATGTTTTGGATTTTAAGGTTATCTGAATAGGCACTATCTCCGAGAAGGCTCGTATAAGGTTGCCACCTATTCGAAATTAGTTACAAATTAATTAAAACATCATAATATGGGTATCAGTGGGAAGGTATTTTAAAGATCCCTATTTCAGAACTATTTTTAATAGGGTTGCCACCTATTTGGAATCGCATATTTATTAAACTTTTTGTTCAGAAAAAAGGTAAAATATTACCATTCATGGGTACCACGAAAAGGTTCTTAAACAATGATTTCCCTATATACAAAATGTTATCCCTTAAGATAATAGTGTAAGGTTGTAATTTATCGAAAACATCGCAATATGAATATCAAATGTAAGGTATTGTTGAAGACTCTGGTCACAAAATATTTTCCATCAGGGTTGCCACGCTTCTATGTAATAAAAATTGTTATTTTGTTAATTTCAATCTGCATTTTTTAAGTATACACAGTACATATACGCTCAAGATATGTGCCATTCATTCCAACGTATTTCGGAATAGGGTTGCCACCTAAATTTTAGAGTAAGAAATAATTCCAAAATATTTTTTTAAAGCTATCCAGATCTTGAAAACTTTAAAAAGTATATGCGCTCAGGGCAAAGTTCGGTCAACCTGGTACTGTCACATAATATGACATTTTCATTCACAACATGTATCGTCCGAAATCGTAAATCTTCGTTGCTTGGATAAATTCGCACGGCCTTAATTTGTATACAAAATAACAAAAATTTCTGTTTACTACACGAGTTAGACAGATTTCAGGCTAACGAAACACTCTTTTATTTTCAAAGTGTAGGTAAATTAAGGAGCGAGTAGTCTAATACATATGTAAATGACAATGTATGCCATTTTTTTGCACGCACGAAAAACTCAATCTTTAAATACTTTAATATCTTCCAGATACCGGGACGTTGCAATGACCCAAATTGAGAACTCTTTACTCAAGAGACAACTTATGCAAAGCGAAACTTGAAGAGATATAAGAAAAATTATATGTAACGTTCCAGTCATAGCGCTCATCATTGTCGACTCAGCATTTAAATTTTCTATACTACTAATGAAGCCATATCCGTTTTCCATGGAGCAAGACGGCTGGAAGAAAAAATTTAATTATGTATTATCTAAAGCCAGAAGGGTAGTTGAGAACGCTTTCGGCCATTTGATAGCGCGGTTTCGAAAAATTGGAAAAGGGATAGATAACAAAATTTACAATTCGAAATTGATAATTAAAGCATGTTGTGCCATCCATAATTTCCTTATTAACCGTAACGATGAGATCAGTAATATTTGGAGGCTGGCTCAGCAGAGAATTGATGATAGCCATCATACTTATGAAGATAATTGGATATTAAATGACTTCCGAGTGTTCTGCAGAAGAAATATGGCATGCACTCTCTCTTACCTTGGTAAGTGTCTTTTATTTAACTTATTAACATATATTATACAAATGCGTATACATTTCAGAAAATCCATTTAATTATAATTTAACAAAACAGCTCCTAAGGGCATTCAGTCAATCGTTAGTAACAGAGAGTTTTTGCAATACGAGCAACTGTTATTAAAATATTTTATTTTTCGCGAATTCTTTATAAAAGTATGGTTACTACTAAACAATTTAATTAAAAAGTGTATTATTTTAATGAAAATTTGCAAAATTTTCTTAAATTTAGCACAATGTTTGGAACTCTGACTTTTGAGGTATGGTTAGTATTTAATAATTTAGTTAAAAGTGTATTTTAATGAAATTCCAAAATTTTCTTAAGTTTAGCACAAGGTTTGGAACTCTAATTTTTGAGGTTTTTGTTGTAATATTAACCATATATAGCGTGGCGACGAATAACTGTTACCCTTTTTTTTTGAGAAATAAAAGGGTCCTTTATAGATTTTGCGAAAAAGCATTTTATTGTTAATTTTCGACAGATTTTACTTTAGTTATATTAATTAGTTTTTAAATTTTAATCCTTATTTACATTTGCCAGCAGTGTAAACTTTGAGAGACAAGTTCATTTGGCACGCAGGTCTTCGTCAGTTAATTTAATCCATGTCTTCTGTAACCATAGGCTAATTTTCTTCATTTTTAGTCCCTTCTACTCCCCCTTTTGTCCAACATAAGGCCTCATACTCAAAAATCGAATAGACTCTCAGAGTCATTTAATGATTACTTAAGGTGTCCACCAGTAACGATTTGAAAAAATTCCTTCTCAGAGTCAGTTAATGATTCGTTAACGGCATTTAATGAATATTAAAGTTAAGTAGACAAAAACCTTTACTTAACTTTTTAACGAATGATTTTGAAATTTTCAATAAATTTCAATTTCAATAACGTTGCTGTAACAGTGGCAATGGTCCAGTGAGCAGAGCACTTTCGTGCCATTCAAGAGATCCGAGTTCAATCCTCGGCAATGATTTTTTTTAATACATTTTTTTTTTTAAGTTTTATTGCTAAAAAGTTCATTTTTTATTTTATTTAACGTTTGGAAACGTTTTTGATTCATTTGATTTTCTTTCACTTCCAGTTTCTCAAATTTTTAGTTTTTCCTTTTTTTGTATTTTTTTTTTTTTATCTAGTTTAGTTTTTAGAAAACTTATTGCTAAACGATAAATATAATAACACTAGTAGCACATCTTTCAATTAGTTATTCGAAATACAGAAAAGGGCTTTCAAGATAGTTGTCGAAATATAAAGACTTTTGTTTCTCGAAAGACTGAGGTGAGTTGAAAGATAGATGCCAGAATTTACCTGTTATTGGTTTTGTTTGTCTTTAAGCAAACAATTAAATTAAATTAAAAAAAAAATGTTTCCTTTTTAAAGCAATAAAATATATAAATCAAAAGAAACTTAGATCATAAAAACAAAAAAAATCAATAGATAGTTTTTAAGAATTAAATAAGAAAAAATAAATAAATAAAAAAGGAAAAAGAAAATTTTCCTGCCCTAGGACTCGGACTCGGATCTCTCGAATGGCACGCCAGTGCTCTGCTCACTCAGCCATTGCATCTGTTGAGCCAGTGCGCGCAAAATGATGTAAATACTTATTTTTATATTTGATTTCAAACTGAACGAAAAAAGTGAGTGATGCCACAAAAATGAAGGGCCGCAACTGGGGCCATACTTAAATTTTTTATTTCATAATTTTTAACTCTGAGAGGAAACATTAACAGATTTAACGATCATTAGTTAAGTGCCCGTTAGAGCTAATTTAAGGAATGTTTCTGAGTGCGGCTGTAAGTCAGAAAGCCAATTTTCATTCTCCAATTGCGGGTAATGTTCCGATTTCAATTTGCGTGTGTGTATATAAAAAGAATTAAATAAAAATAAAAAATAAAACAATCGAAAAGAATGTCCAGCAAAGAAATATGTATTTTAAAAAGTAATAAAAAGAGCCAAAATGTTCTAAGCAAAGAGAAAGTAAAAAGAGCCGAACTTTGCTAAGCAAAGGGCCGCATTTGGCTTAAAGAGCCGCGTTTTCCCACCGATTGGTCACTCCTCTGCGGTTGGTCACTCGCTGTGAATCAAGTTAGATGCCTGTAATTTAACGTTATTCGACAAGTTCTTCCCAATCGCCCCTCCCCAAATAAAATCCTGTATCCGCCACTGATAAGAGGGTTGTCACCCCTTTAAAAAATTAAGTTTAACTAAAATTTGTCTGGCAGCTAGCGCTGTGCGTATCTTTTGTTTGAAGGTGCTCAAAAGGCCTAATTGTACTAAATGCACTTAATCTTGTGCGGCTAATGATTATGTTGCTTGCGGAATTTGCGAATTAACATATCAAATGTGCAAAAATAGTGCTAATGCCGTCAATTTCAAACAATTCTGCTAATAATAGTACACTGACGCGCTCAAAGGCTAAGGTCGCTGACCCTAATTCTATGCAAGTGCAATATCCACTAAAAAACAAATCTACACAAATTACTTCTGATGAGTGTATCAATAATGCTTCTGATAGTACTGCTTATATATCACCATCGTCATTAAAGTGCTTTAAATTAGTTAAGAAAGACGTGAATTCAGACTCCTTAACTAAAGTGAATTTTAAACTCGGAATTTCTTCTTCAAATTATAATAAGCTGCTCGACCCTTCTCTGTGGCCATCCAATAATCGACCTTTTCCAAAGGCCGGAGTTGCAGCAGGCATTCCATAGATGAGCATGCTGCGCTACACAATATCTCGTGCCAAACACATCTAAATTCAATTAAGTCACTGTCGATCTTTTATCAAAACGCGTATCGCCCAGTTGTCGAAATTCGACATCTTTTTCATACACTTTTGAATTTTACCTGTCACCAATACTAACTCCGTTATGCGAATTACTATTTTGAAGTCCACCAGCATAATTTGTAGCGAATTTACAGGAAAACTTAAAATCGAATTATGAACGTTAATACCGGATTGATTAATGCTTTTTCTACCAAGTCTCCTCCAAATTTCTGCAGTTGCTTTTGAAATAAAAGGAACCTCGATTTTCATTTATAAAAAATATGCATATGCATTTGTATGTATAGATGAGATGTTCGTCACTGAATAATATGTCAAACATATACCAATTCAGACTGTTAATAAGTTTTTGGATTATATTTGTCTGAGAGCCTCTTGGAGGTTAAAAACTAAATTGCCCTCATCTGCATAAACTCTTTCTTTTTTTCATCATAATCGTTAACGGTTGAGAAAGTATCTTGAAGGTTTACAACAAAAGATAATATTTCTTTCTCTAACAGCGGTTTCACACGGGTTTTTGTCAAGACTGGGCCAAAGCCCAATATTTTTTCATCACACGACTGGGCTACCAAGTTACACCAAATTTTATGTAACTAATCTGTGTTCTAAAAGTGAAACAAATGTGATCATAAATATGATTTTTTAGTATAGCTCTCAATCCCTGCGCCACCTGTCGGAAGACAAATACACTGATCCTTCTAAAAACTTTTGCACAAAACAATCATTCAATGCGATTTTAAAATCCGAGAGAAAATGGTTCCGAATTGAATGATTGTTGTGATTTTATATGTGTAGGTGTATAAAATTCCATTACTTTATAATAAGTGGTTCCAGGGATAAGCGATATGATAATTTCAGTTTTTATGGGTGGTGCCACGCCCCCTTTTCCAAAATCTACCATTTTTCGCTGTAAGGACGGTATTGACATATGTTGCTGTGTCAAATTTCAGCGATATGAGAATTTCAGTTTGTATGGGAAGTGCCACGCCCACTTCCCCAGTACCTACCATTTTTTACCGTAAGTAGGGTATTTACAATCTATGCATTTGTGCTAAGTTTCAGTTCCCCAGCATAATTTGCTTTAGAGATATAGTGGTTTTCACATTTTATTCTATATGTCAGATGCCACGCCCCCTATGTATCGGGATTAACATTTCTGGATTAGAGGAAGTCATATCCTTTAAATCGGTGTATGGTTCATTGAAATCGAACGAACGGTGCCTTCAAAAAAGGGATTGCTAAATTTTCTTGTGGCGTATTTATATATAGATATGTCTGGCATGAGAACCAAAGCTTCGCTTGTTTATGCAGCAACATCCCAAAATGATTACGATGTAGTTGTTCTCGTTGAGGCTTGGCTAACCTCAGATTTCTTCGACGAGGAGTTTTTCGATAAAAATATCTATAGTGTCTTTCGTAAAGAGAGGGATAGCCTAAAAACTGACCTCATAAGGGGTGGTGGCGTCTTAATTGCTGTCAAAAAAATTCTTCATTCGAATACAGTAGCTCTTCATAACTTAGATTCTGTGCTTGATCAACTTTGTGTTGAGATTGCTGGGGTGAGAGATGTTCTTCGTATCTGCGTTTCATATATCCCGCCGAATAGTTCGCATAAAATCTATTATGATCACGTTACTAATATTAGCCACTTGGCGGAGACAGTATCAAATACTCAGCAGTATAAGCTTATCTTAGGTGACTTTAATTTAAATAAAATCGCATGGTCATATCTTGCAGATGAGGATTCACTTATGCCAAGCAATGTTAACAGCGCGGATGAATTTACTTTAACTGATAGCTTTTATAGTTTGCAACTAACACAAATCAATCAGATCGTAAATAAAGTTGGAAAAATTCTAAATCTAATATTTATAAATAGCGACTTAAATTTTAACATCAATCTATCACTTAGTCCTCTATCTGCTACTGATAAGCATCATGTACCACTAAAGAATGTACACGAAAAAGCTGGTCACAGTTAAAACGTTCTAAAACATAAATATATTAATGGAATTCAACGATATTTACATATATTTACATCTAAACTTAGTTTTATTGAAATTCGTTAAAAAAGAGTTAATTCTCCTTGTAATAAGCAAACGATCGCAATTTTGACTTTATGTCCTTCATTAGCCCTTGCACAGAAGTTTCAGTGATTTCCTTGGAAACCAGCTGCCATTTATTTTTGA